TCTCAGAAAAGAGTTGATGACATGCTTATATTCCTCATTATTCCTTGTTTTTAGTCCCTTTATATTTCATCAATCGATTAATGCTGATTTTCATTATGACTCATTGCCATGGTGATTTAGGCATTAAAAGATTCGGGTACTTCTTTAGACGGAACCAAATAAATAAATAAAGCAACCAACGGAAATACGATTTTCTATATTACATCATTACCAGAACAATATATTGTGAGTTTTCAGTGATTTTCGGGGGATCCATTCATATCATTTTCCGCACTATTTTTCCTTTTATGCCCAATGAAATCTGTTTTGGCAGACAAACCCGTTATTCTCTAGCATTGACTTTGTATATTTTACAGACATTGTCAAAATGGAATCACCTGTACTGTGAGTCAGTAAATGATATAGTTGTGTTGAAACCGGCATGTTTAGTGGTTGACCTACCATCAACAGGCAAACCTCTTGCTGGATCAAGTATGCACAATGTTTATTTAGGATACACAAACAGATTTTCATGAATGGAAACTGAAGGTGACAGGTGACACCATCCCAGGATACAGTGTGTCCTCACATCAGATGTATAGGATTATAGTGGTGTGGGGACCATGGATCAGTGTGTCAAGTGCTTCCGCGTAATCCCCACTCCAGCATACACTGTACATAGTCTCCCTCCCATCCTGCATCTGTCATCTCGCTGGACACTCAGCCCGAGTCAATATACACACCCCGGTTTCACCTAGTCCCTATGGTGTGTCCAGATACAGATCATGTTTCTGTTATTGTCACCTTGCTTCCTGGGCAGTAACCTTAGGGTTGACCTTGAAGTGCAAAGTGGGTATTGGGTGGGCAGAATGGTTTCTGAATGGGAACAGACATGGATAGTTGACCTGCTACTTCGTGAAGTGGTCTCTGTCCCTCAAGGCGATCTTTAAATAGCACTCTGACTACCACTACTTTACAAAGCGGTCGGGTAGCCTAGTGGTTAAAGCACTCGCGCGTCACGCCGAAGACCCTGGTTCAATTCCTGACATGGGTACAATGTGTGAAGCCCATTTCTGGTGTCCCCCGCCGTGATATTGATGGAATATTGCTAAAAGCTGCGTAAAACCATACTCACTCACTCACCATACTTTTACATGGCTACAATAATCATTGTGCTAAGATACATCTTTGGAACAGGGATCAGTTCACAGAATTGCAGGTGTCATTATAGGAATATGAAATTATTATGCCACAATAGAAGCATCAAATCATGATGCCAGAGTAGAGTATCAAATCATGATGCCACAGTAGGAGTATCAAATCATGATGCCACAATAGAAGCATCAAACCATGATGCCACAGTAGGAGTATCAAATCATGATGCCACAGTAGGAGTATCAATCATGATGCCACAGTAGGAGTATCAAATCATGATGCCACAGTAGGAGGATCAAATCATGATGCCACAGTAGGAGTATCAAATCATGATGCCACAGTAGGAGTATCAAATCATGATGCCACAGTAGGAGTATCAAATCATGATGCCACAGAAGGAGTGTCAAATCATGATGCCACAGTAGGAGGATCAAATCATGATGCCACAGTAGGAGTATCAAATCATGATGCCACAGTAGGAGTATCAAACCTTGTTGCCACAGTAGGAGTCAACAGTTTTATCCCTTGCCTCTCTTTGACTTTGACTTACAACATTCACAGGGCCAAGATCTCTTGTGGCGACAGTCACAGCTCCAAGATCTCTTGTGGTGACAGTAACAGTGCCAAGATCTCTTGTGGCTACAGTCACAGCGCCAAGATCTCTTGTGGCAAGAGTCACAGCGCCAAGATCTCTTGTGGCGACAGTCACAGTGCCAAGATCTCTTGTGGCAACAGTCACAGTGCCAAGATCTCTTGTGGCACCAGTCACAGCGCCAAGATCCCTTATGGCGACAGTCACAGCAGTAAGATCCCTTGTGGCGACAGTCACAGCGCCAAGATCTCTTGTGGCGACAGTCACAGAGCCAAGATCTCTTGTGGCGACAGTCACAGAGCCAAGATCCCTTGTGACGACAGTCACAGCGCCAAGATCCCTTGTTGCGACAGTCACAGTGCCAAGATCCCTTGTGGCGACAGTCACAGCGCCAAGATCTCCTGGGCGCAGGGTCCTGGTTGGTTTAATTCCCAGCCTGCCCTGTTTGCACTGCAATCTCCCACCATGCTCCTGACATCAGTAGTATAGACATGTGAAATGTATCATTGTAGATAAATATGGATGTCATTTGAAGCTTGAACTGTTTTTCACATTGCTTGTCAGCCATGTAATCTGTGCCTGTTGTTTGCGCTCAACATGACAAGCCATCTGTGAGGGTGTCGGCTTGCAGTTCAGGTGTACAGGGGGGGGACAGAACGAGGGGAAGGGGGGACAGAACGAGGGGAAGGGGAGACAGAAGGAGGGGAAGGGGGGGAAAGGAACGAAATCATGTCTTCCAGGACCACAATTTAAGAAAACATCTCACACTTCAAAAGAAAAGGTGTTGTTGTCTGTGTTACATGTTTCTGTATGCGTAGTGGAAGATTACAAGAAAAGAGAATGTGTTGTGTCAGATGACTGTGTGCAAATACATATATGGATGTTACGTTCATGTTGTTTCATACTGCGAACCCATATGATGCAATCTTGTAATGAATACGTACTCTACATTGGGAAAAAAGTAATTAACTGTGACCATGTGTCTTTGAAACGGGAGGAAAAGGTTGCAGCAAAGTTGATAGCTTGGTGTCCCATTATTCTCAACACAGAGACTGGTACAAGCTATGGGGGATTGCGTCCGTCACCTGGATAGTGAGAACACAACACAAGGGGTGCCGACAACACAAGTGTATACTTCAAACAAAACAGTGTTTGTGGATTATGTACGGAGATAATCAATGTCTGGGGATCTATGTCAGCCCTTTACACGGCATATATAGGGGCATCATTGTAGCTGAACATCTTAATGAGAAGGGATGTTTAAAAATTATGAATTATACTACTACTACTACTACTACTACTGCTACTACTACTACTACTACTACTACTACTACTACTACTACTACTACTACTACTGCAGCTGCTGATACTACTACTACTACTGCCCAGAGAGCGGAAGGTCCGGGGTTTGATTCCTGGCCACGTCATACCAAAAGACATTAAAAGATGATACTTGTTGTTACCCTGTCTGGCGCTCGGCATTAGTGGCTAAAACAAGGACTGGTCGGCTCGGTGTCAGTATACTGTGTCTGAGTGGGGTATTCATGTTAAACTGCGGCATGGTATATCTCAGTGAGCTAGCACTATAAATCAGCATCATTCCGGACTAGTACAAGCAGCCACACCCACACGTGCATGTACGTCGCTATATAAGTGCAATAATCTTGAATGCGACATTAAACCCAATTTCACTACTACTACTACTACTACCACTACAACTACTACTCTGCTGCTACTACTGCAGCTGCTGATACTACTAATACTGCAGCTGCTATTACTATAAGCTACTACTGCAGCTGCTGCTACTACTACCACTGCTGCTACTGCTACTCTACTACTACTGCATGGATCATTACTCATAATACATGTATCAATCACTGGATTGTCTGGTCCAGACTCAATTACTTACAGGCTGCAGTCATATAGCTGGAACACTAACACCTCAATCTAGGTATTCAATGTTCATGTCTCCTTCAGTGTAGGCATGCAGTGCACACCCGATATCACAGACAGACAAAGAAATACAACCATAAGCTACTACTATTTTACATCTGTCTTACATGTTTTACTTAAAAACCTGAGGGCTCTTTACCATTCAAGGTGGGATCATTCAGTAATGCATTCTCAACTCCCTGGGGAGTATACAGCCTAAGCTGCCTGGTAGGCAGAAGCTGTTTAATCAGTATTGAAAATGCCTACATTTTGCAAGTGATGCAACTCTTTTCCAGTTACAAGTAGTTCTGTTTAGATTACAACTGTTATATGCTTTCTGCAAGCATTTTTATTCATCTTAAATATTGTTCTATACATTTTTGAAGAGCTCCATCAAATTGCAGATGGTTTTATCCACTTTGCAAGAGTGTCAAATTGAATGTGAACTGTCTGTTGTCTATTCATTTTTCTTTGGCTCAATCAATTTAAAAAAAAATGTTTTATGCATATTGAAAAAAACGTTTTTCATTTTTTGATGAATCCATTTCCAAATAATCCCCTATCCAGTTAACAGATGAAAATTTACATTGGAAGTAACCCAGTCCTTTATATTATACTGTCTGTCAATATTACAAATCATGTTATCCAATTTAATAAGAAGTTCATCCATTCTTCAACAATGCCTATCGCTGAAGGAACCAGAAAGGCCAAGGAATCAATATTCCATATTGCACACAAATCTTTAAGACAACCTGTTGATGTGTTAGATATGCTACGTGTTTAAGACAGCCTTAATGTAATGGTTAAATATAACACATGTTTAAGACACCTGTGTGTGTATATGTGGTGGCATGTGGTCCTGTGCACAGCGCACAGTGCACAGGTCACAAATCAGGTGAAGTTAAGCAACGTTGGTCGCAGAGAGTCCTTGGATGGGTGACCATGTTTCGGCAGCTTGGGTCCTGGGAGTTTCTAGGGCCTTGGTCCTGCCCCACACTGCAGCACATGCAACACATGTGGCGTCTCCTTGGGCGAGTGACTTTGTCCGAAATGTGCCTCTGTTAACCCAGCAGTGAAGGGTACCCAGTAGGATGAGATGGCAATGTGGTTGTTAACCTTCTAGCGACTAACAGGCAGCTTTGGTTGTATACTCCCCAGGGAGCTGAGAATGATTGTTGAGTGATCCAGTGACTGGGGTAATAATAGCGCTTTGAGCATGCCCCTGAGTGGTGTAGAAATATGCACAATATGAATAGCCTATTATTATTATGATGATGATGATTATGATGATGATGATGATGATGATGATTATTATTATTATATGTCTTACTCTGGGTTGCAGGTGTCTGATGAGAGGGCTGTCACCTGCAGTGATGACGGCACCATTCGAATCTGGGACTTCGTGCTGCCCAAAGGATCTCTCAAGAAGTCTGCTTGAAGTATCTGGCACGTGCTACAGACAGAGCTACATGGAGATAGCGTCCATGCTGCAGACTAGAAAGAGCTACATGGAGATGATCTCAATGCAACAGAAATCTACATGGAGATGGTCCCGTAGCTACAACAAATGACCAACTGTTTCTGAACAAAAGCCATGACACAACGTAACACACTCAGGTCCTGTTAATCCGACATGGTCGGTTACTTATGATTATGTCAGATTAATGAGTATGTCAGATAAACAAAATGAAGTAGTGTCAATGTTCGTGATCGTAAACCGGACAACTACACGACTACACAATCTCTAAGCTTAACACAAAACTACTATTATGAGCTGTATGACTGATTCAAAATATTTTTAAAAGCATAGTCTGGAATGGAAGTCACCAGTTGGAACTAGTGCCGCAATGCTCCAAAAGCTGCTTTCTTAGTGGCTAATGTCAACTTAGTCATTTCATAAGTTGATCAAAGTTTGCGAAAGGTCGTTCTGACGTGACCTGTAATGGGATATCCTTACCGGTTGCGAGAATAAGGAATCTGATTTTAATGAGATCGAGGTAATCTAAGCATGTGTTTAATCCTGTTTTGTTTATTTAAAGCATTAATTGTTTATTGTTTAGCAAGTTTATCTCTGCAGCAGTTGTAATATGCAGCTACCAGCCGACTCATCTCACATCAAAACACAGGCTGTGTACACGCGGGCAGATGACCACGGTTTAAGTTGATCACTGTGTTGGATTAACTGACTCAATAATGAGTGATTTCAGTTTTTCGTTGTAAATTAGGTATGTCGGAGTCTGCAAAACTGTTGTATTAACAAGACTAAATAGCACTGAGTTAATCGGTTCCCATCATTAGTGTCGGATAAAGCTGATTGTCGAATTAACGATGGTCGGATTAACAAGACTTGACAGTAGGTATCGAGATTAGATAAGTTTACATCATAGAATATAGCAATATACTGTGGAACCTCATTACTCCCGAATCTGACTTGATGAAATAGTAAAGTTCAATAAAAGTGTCAATAAGTTCTACTGCATTCGTCTGAAAAACTCAGACAATACTCTTACAATATTGTATAGCAACAGAGGTTGCAGATTAATGAGGGTCCACTGTACCTCCTTACCTGTCTATCTGACTCTAGGAACAAGTAGTTTTCTACTTTACAAACTGTACTTATATTCTATGCAATTCTGATTACCTGTAGTAGTTTTATATATCATCTTGTTTCCTCAATAAGCAAAGTTAAGATATTTTATACTTGTACTTTTAGTTTCTAACTTTTCATGGAAGTAGTGTTGATGAAGGAACCTTGATTTTGGATCTGGTGAGTGTCTGTGTCCACAGGGCGGTGTCACCAGGTGGTTCATGTACTAAAAAGCAGTTTGTACAGAAGACAATTTGGAGACAGGATTGAATCCTTATTCGTTCAAAGACTTTTTGGTAATATTCCAGCTAAGACGGCGGTCTGTAAAAAGTAATGTCTAAACCAGACAATCCAGTAATTGACATCATGAGCATCGATCCACGCAATTGGGATACGATGACATGCATCAACCAAGTCAGTGAGCCTGACCACCCAATCCAGCTAGTCGCCTCTTACGACAAGCATAGTCGCCTTTTAAGGCAAGCATGGGTTGCTGAAGACCAAATCTAACCCGGATCTTCACAGGTCTCTTCACGTATAACCATGTCCTACCCAGCTGGAAACGTACTGACATCCATACAACTGCTTGTTATTACAAACCAAACTTCTACTATGGCAATCAATGATCATGATCAGCTTCATGTGTACTGCTGTTTCCGTCCATGGACACAATACAATGTCAGATATATATATTGTTTTGAAGTGAGAACATCTAAGCTGCTGTGATATTACCTTGCAATACTATGCTGTGTTTGATATTTTATCCCATATTCTTCCATATACATATGTTATGTTTACCGATACCCTTGTTTATGATGCTGATGCTGATGCTGATTGTCGCAGTTATATACTGCCCTGAAAATGAATCTTTGCTTACATGTGTTACCTATATGAAAGCATGCTACAACATTATTTATTGAAATTTTAACTTAATACTGATCTAAAAAGTGAGCATTATTTTTACACCGATTTTGGCAATATTCTGGCAACATCACGGCAGGGGACACCAGAAATTGGCTTGATACATTGTACCAATGTGGGGAATCAAACCTGGGTCTTCAGTGCTATGAGTGAACGCTTTAACCTCTTAGCTACCACACCACCCTAATAATGATCGATGAATGCCAAATTGACGAATTAACATGAGGTTGTCTCAAAAACATAGACCATTCTCCAAATGTCGGACCTTGTTTATTTTTTTGGATTATGGATTTTATTACTGATAAATTTGGTCAGTATGTCAAAATGTATATACCGTAATCAGCGTAATAAGCGCCCAGGTCGCTCTCAAAATTAGAAATAGGGGGCTCTTATTGGAATATTATTTAGGTGAAAAATCAGAGTTGAAAGATAAATTTCGTGGTTTATGCTGACAGCCTGAAATGTTTATATACGACAGATATATTTTTCCAGGATTTAATTACCCATAATTAATGGTGCATATAACACACGAGTGCGTATTATACGCGAATAAATAAGTCTTGTGTACATTGATCAATCAGAAGGGGTGCTAATAGGGATTGTTTACTAGCTAATATATTAGCAAATATCGCTGCAGGCGCTTATTAGAGCGGGGCGCTTATTACGTCGAATATGGTAATGAAATTGTTTCAAAGGAATTGTTTTGTGAACTTTGACATGTATTGGGTCAGTAGATGGAAGAAAAGGTCTGGTCTCACTGGTACTAGCCCTTTATATAATAACTTGAATTTGACATCAGAGTTTCGAATTTTATTTATTATAATATTCTCTGAATCAGTGTTTCAGTTCAGCATTTCTGTTGATGACAAATGTTTCAAGATTATTTTTATGATCAAAATGTTATTTACTGTTGGCAGCATTAAAAATGATGCCACACTGATTTTTGGGGGTCGCTCATTAAATAAATGAAAAATGTACTGCCAAAAAGCATCATGGAACCAAACAGAGAATCATGCACTGATGGAGGATACATTGGGTGGAGAATTCCTCCTGCTGGTATTATTTACATCATTCCATGTATGTTTCCTCTACCTGGTAGTATGTAGGTCGACACTTGTTGTTTACCATGTGTAGTGTTTTGTTTGTTTGTTTGTTTGTTTGTTGTTTAACGCCGCAATCAGCAATATTCCAGCTATATGACGGTGGTCTGTAAATAATCGAGTCTGGAACAGACAAACCAGTGATTGACATCATGAGCATCTGTGATCGATGACAAGCATCAACCAAGTCAGCGTATCTGACCACCCGATCCCGTTAGTCGCCTATTACGACGAGCATAGTCGCCTTTTACGACAAGCATGGGTTGCTGAAGACCTATTCTACCCTGGATCTTCACAGGTCATCATGTGTAGTGTATATCTATATTCACTGGAACACAAACTATCTTGTGTCTGAAAAACAGTGTTCAGTTTGCAATCACAATGTCATATTAAGAATGTGTCCTATTATAATGAAGATTTTATCATGTTTTTTTTGTTGTAATGTTTTATAAACTATATTCCTCACAGAAGAGATTCTGAGGCCATTGAGAAACTGCAATGCTGATCGAATAGTAATTAGCCTCTTGAACAATTTGTCTTTTCTCCTTATTTTTTTTATGAGAATTGTTAGAGTTGTGTTACAAGTTTGCTGGGGAAAAAACACTTGTGAAGATGAAATTGATGGTGTACTGTGGTTGGAATAATGCAGTAGTTTGCAGGAACCATTCTGATGGTCGTCATTTGTATTTGAAACATTTCTTATGCGATTTTATTTATCTTTTTCTTCATCATAAACTTGTGTGGCTTTTGCCAAGAGATGTTCATATAGTTGTACGGTTGCCTGTTAAGTTGTTTTCTGATCATTGTTTCTATGTTGAACGATGTCATAGCCATTACGTTGTCATCCTCCAGTCAGACCACTGTTTCACACACCAAAATCCTCAAATTAAATTGTTTGATAGGCGTTACTTAGAAGTTGACGGATGACAAGGTAGACACAATTTTATGGATAACAACTTCTTTAATACTGTAAAAAGTTATATTTCGGTATAGATCCTTATACCGTTGTCAAGTAGTCTTGACAACGGTATAAGGATCTATACCGAAACGTCACTTTTTACAGTATTAAAGAAGTTGTTATCCATAAAATTGTGACTACCTTACCAAAATCCTCATCTGGAACCACAAAGTCAATGAAGATGAAACTTTGCATGGGTGATCTGATCCTGCAATGGTCTGATCTGGTTTAAGCATGCTGATTTTTTAGGCTCATTGACTCAAGTCAAAGAAATTAGTGATTATAAACATATTCTGATTATTCAGGATGCTATTTAGGAAGTATATTAAATATGAAGATAGTTTTGATTTCATCCCCCAAAAATATATGTGTTGTTTTAAAATACTCTTTCTTTTAAGCTTATGTTTCATTATTCACTTTTAGCAATATCAAGGGATTAGATTATAAAGCAAGAAAATGTATTGGCCTGGCATTGTACATTAAATTAGATTTTGCAGACAGTCATCAGATGAAGTAGTTTTAAAGAATGCTTAAAGAATGGTATAATTGTTCAGGAAAGGTCATGTTAAAACATTAATATTTTCATACTGAAGGTCAGGCTCTCTTTAACTTTTGGATAAACTTACAAAATCAATTATTCAGTGTATGTAGCTATCTCAAGAATGTGGGAAACATAAACCAAAACTATTAATTTCTTAAATTTGCGCACAAAATTCCTGCAATTCCAGTACATTGATCAGCATCAAGTAGTATATTTTTTATATCCTGAAGCATTCATCTGGGGTAACTGACAACCTGGATTGTCACTTGAATGTCTGAGGGAGCAATACTCTCTCTCCAGTATCTAGTTTATGGTGTTGAAGTTTATTGATGTATATGCTTTATGGTCCGTGAAAGTACTAATTCCTACATATACAATATCTCTATTACATCAGTGATCCGTTTTTTTGGCTATAAAACTATAAAAAAAATCTTCGTTCCTGTTACTATGACACTAGCAAAGTATGATCTAGTCTTCATAATTGCCTACATAAGCTGGTAAAACCTCGTTACTGTGTGATAAATGACAATTTTAATGCCAGTGACAACACAGAGAAAACGTTTGTAGTCCACACAGAAAAGAAGGTTTTCCCACTTTTGGCATGTGCATGATATTTGGAAAGCAAAGTACTATTATAAGCACAACTAGTAATGGATAGTTGACAGTGAAGAGGACGTCTGTTGAGAATCTGAAAATTTTTATTATGTGATTGACAGCGGAAATACAGGATTTCTGACATGGATGTAATAGTATTCTTTGAATTATTTACAATATTAACTTTTGTTGGATGTTCTTCTCACTGGTCAGTTGATGCAATTGACATTTACATAATGCTTGGATTTACATTTGATATGATGTTGTATAATGTTCATATTTTATTATAATAGTATTTTAATGATGATTTATTTTTGAAAATGTTTTGCTGATGGAGTGAAACAGATTATACACTTTTGGATGAATTATATATCAGCCATACATGACCATGTCCAAAGAACTGTTTTTAATCTTTTTAAAGTCTGCTAAAAACATAAACCCAAAATCATTTTTAAGAATGCAGACTTTTGATTTGTCTGGGCCTGTGTGGTTGATTGTTGTGACAACTGTGATAATAAATACCTGGATATGATAGAGAAAAGGTGTTTGTTCTTGTGGATTTTTTCAAACCTGAATGTATGTTTTTGTGATAGTACATGAAGACTACAGTTTAAGTGTATTTTGACATGTTTGTAGACTTCAGTATCAGTTGTTGATAAAGACTGATAAACTGACAGGTCATGTTGAAAGTGACTGAAGCCAGACATATCTGTACTCAATGTCCTGCTTCATGGTGCAGAGGGCACAGCATCTTTCTGGTTTACCTCCAGACAGTAGGGCAACAACGTAGACAATATATGGATAACAACTTCTTTAGTTAATGTGAAGGTGATGTTTCAGTATAGATCCTTATACCAGGCAGCTAGTCTAAGCAGTAGGGCAATAGTGTTGTCATTGGTGACACAGATCAGGCAGCTGGTCTAAGCAGTAGGGCAATAGTGTTGTCATAGGTGACACAGATCAGGCAGCTGGTCTAAGCAGTAGGGCAATAGTGTTGTCATTGGTGACACAGATCAGGCAGCTGGTCTAAGCAGTAGGGCAATAGTGTTGTCATTGGTGACACAGATCAGGCTGCTTGTCTAAGCAGTAGGGCAATAGTGTTGTCATTGTTGACACAGATCAGACAGCAGGTCTAAGCAGTAGGGCAATAGTGTTGTCATTGGTGACACAGATCAGACAGCTGGTCTAAGCAGTAGGGCAATAGTGTTGTCATTGGTGACACAGATCAGGCTGCTTGTCTAAGCAGTAGGGCAATAGTGTTGTCATTGGTGACACAGATCAGGCTGCTTGTCTAAGCAGTATGGCAATAGTGTTGTCATTGGTGACACAGATCAGGCAGCTGGTCTAATCAGTAGGGCAATAGTGTTGTCATTGGTGACACAGATCAGAAAGCTGGTCTAAGCAGTAGGGCAATAGTGTTGTTATTGTTGACACAGATCAGGCAGCTGGTCTAAGCAGTAGGGCAATAGTGTTGTTATTGTTGAAACAGATCAGGCAGCTAGTCTAAGCAGTAGGGCAATAGTGTTGTTATTGTTGACACAGATCAGGAAGCTAGTCTAAGCAGTAGGGCAATAGTGTTGTTATTGTTGACACAGATCAGACAGCTGGTCTAAGCAGTAGGGCAATAGTGTGCAATGGTTGACACAGATCAGACAGCTGGTCTAAGCAGTAGGGCAATAGTGTTGTCATTGGTGACACAGATCAGACATCTGGTCTAAGCAGTGGGGCAATAGTGTTGTCATTGGTGACACAGATCAGGCAGCTGGTCTAAGCAGTAGGACATTAGTGTTGTCATTGGTGACACAGATCAGACAGCTAGTCTAAGCAGTAGGGAAATAGCGTTGTCATTGGTGACACAGATCAGACAGCTAGTCTAAGCAGTAGGGCAATAATGTTGTCATTGGTGACACAGATCAGGCAGCTGGTCTAAGCAGTAGGGCAATAGTGTTGTCATTGGTGACACAGATCAGGCTGCTTGTCTAAGCAGTAGGGCAAAAGTGTTGTCATTGTTGACACAGATCAGACAGCTGGTCTAAGCAGTAGGGCAAACAATGTTGTCATTGGTGACACAGATCAGACAGCTGGTCTAAGCAGTAGGGCAATAGTGTTGTCATTGGTGACACAGATCAGGCTGCTTGTCTAAGCAGTAGGGCAATAGTGTTGTCATTGGTGACACAGATCAGGCTGCTTGTCTAAGCAGTATGACAATAGTGTTGTCATTGTTGACACAGATCAGACAGCTGGTCTAAGCAGTAGGGCAATA